AGACGAAGATAAAAACCCATAAGAAAAACATGAGCGACAGACTCTGTGGAGGCTCAGCTCTGGTAAACGGCGGCCGACTGTACATATGTTTACACTTATTCTCAACTGACAAAGGAGATTGTAGTGAGATTAGCGGAAACGGGGTTTAGAATGGTCGTAAAAGGCAATATGACATTATTGGGGACAACTGTGCATAGCTCTCTGCACATTCCTATGATTGGAGCTAAAAGCCTTCGAATCATGGACCAAGCTGAAAATGAAAATGAAGTTTGCCTTAGTTCAACCTCTTCAGTTGGTTTTAGTAATTAGCTCTATGTGACACATGCACCATGTGCATGAAAATGAGTAGAAGAAGATGGGGGGGGGGGGGGGTGCAGGAGCAGCCACCAAAATTTTTTTAGATATGCATTTATTCCCTAGACTTTGTGGAGCCGAGATTTTGGAATGAATAATCAAATCATTTCAGGACTCGTTCAAATAGAGTAAACTATAAGGAGCTGAAGCAAATGAGTAGCATTTTTCCAAATAAGGTAGTATATTGAACAGATATCTAACTTGCAGGGAAATCGGGTAAATCTATCGAAAATGCTTATTTCTTTTTTTGACCGGGTTCATGCGAATAAAGTGGTGAGCGTCGCAGGACATGTTGAGAACAAGCTCGAAATAATGTGAAATATAGAAAATAACAAATAAAAAACGCAGTAGGTCGGAAGATAATTTCTGTTAAACTATTCTAAAATAAGATCCAGGTTCCGGAAGCTTCCTAGAATTTTCAAACTTGCTCCAAAGTTCACTATCCAATGATATGTATTTGCAAATTTTGCACTTGAATTAGAAAACATTGCCAAACCTTGATAAATTGGTTATTGCAATTAAACCACTGTTTTCAACAAGTGAATTTTCATTACGTTGTATCTTAACGCATACTATATTTCGAATTTTCAACAATTCAATTAATTCAATGTAACAATTTCATTTGACAATTGCTTAATAATTCTTATAAGTAGGAAAGAAACAAAGTTTTAGACACTCCGTTTCGTTCCTTCCCTTAGTCAAAGCAAAGAATCTCAGAACTCTCCCGGAACTTCTATATTTATTTCTTATGTATTGTTGTACGAATTACTAGACTAAGCAGCTGACACAAGTATCATAAAAATATGAGGAAGTCCGCTGCAGCATTACGGAGAATTCCCTATCTTAGGTGCAAAGGCATAATTTTTTGTCGGGCCATCACCAATGCTTCCGCAAGAAAACAACATAAAAAGGCTGTAGCGATATAAGGTTTCAATTTCCGCAGAAACTTTTCACGCAAGGCGAAGTAGCAAGATGCTTTTTATTATGCCGCTATGCTTTTGCCTCATCTAATTAATTGCAAGGACGAGTTTCGTTTCCGTGGGCGGCAAGTTCTTTAGTGAATGGGATTGAAGGAGGTTGACCTTGCAGTTATTCAGGACCATGTTCTAGAGGAAAAAACTATAAGATAGTAGCATTAAGGTAGGTACAGGCATTAAGGTACAAAAGAATCCGAAAATTTTAGTATTTTCTCAACGATGTTGATAGAGGTTGCTCAGACAAAAGAAGGATAGTGGAGTAGGCACGAAAAGTGTAGGAATGACAGCACAAGAGATTTAGTGAGTTTTTTGGGGTACTGTCATTGCTCGCAATGTTTGTCTTTCATATCGTCAAAGCCACAGTATTCTAACACATCTTCAATAAGGCTTCAAAGAATGTAAAGTTTTGTTTTCGGTAAGTAATTAACCTTTCATTCAACTGGATTGGCTGGTGGAAGGCGGGGCTTCATGACCTAATTAAGGCCGTTCACACCAGCGGCGTAGCCTGCGTCTTTATCGCGCGCATGCTCTCTGATCATTCTCTAGCCTCAACTAGGTCATGAAGTTCCATTTTCCAGCTGCCAAATCAGTTGAAAAGCTTATCTAAGTGATAATCAAGTAAGTTTTTTGAAAGAAGAAATTTTAGTGAGTTTTCTAATAAAAAAAGATTCTTAGAAAAACAAACTTCATTTTTCCTAAGCATTTTGATCGAATTGTTGGACCAAATACATATTGCGTTCATTATGCAATTTATTTATATCCATGCAAGAGATTAGAGGCTATGACTGTGAAAATGCGCTGGATGATCAGCTTGCGATGAATGCTCAACAATGTTATGCTTGCTCCACAACCCCTTCCTTATTAGTGTAAGCAAACATATGAAGTGACTGAAAATGTAAAGAAGACAAAGCCGAGCATTTGCGCTGTGTTTTTGCTCCGTCTCGTGAACACTTCCGCCTATTCAAGTGTTCACTATTTTGAGCGATGTTCTTTACCGCTCACATTCTGAATTAGTGGTGGATGCGAAATGACTCTCAAAAAAAAACTTTTCTAAAAAAGTTCCTTACTCATTTAGAAATTTCTCAAAAAGCTACAATCCGTCCGCCACCATGGAGATAAATACATATTGTGAAAAGAGTGCTTTTTCTGTTCAATAGAATAAAACTATATGATAGGTAAGAAACCATATAACTCAACTTTCGCCTGACGTTTAACTCCGATTCAAAGCATACAAGTGAACGCATTTGCTGAACGAAAAGGTCTGTGAAATTTCATATAAAACGTGGTGTTATATTAAGCTAAACGGATTTTTCGGTATGAATTGCCAACTGCATCGTGTACCGAAATGTCCGCGAATGGCGAGACTTTAACCCTCAAAATCCGGAAAATCGTTCAATGGACTGTCAGAGAGAGTGACATATCAACAGGTTTGTTGCGCACCCGTGACGTAACGATAAACATCAGGTGGACAGCCCAAAACGTTAAATATTCGCATAAAAATAGTAACAATTTTCCACGAATGTACAGAGAAGTAACTTTGAAGGAAGAATCATGGAAAGAGGCGATGAGTCTATGCATTTTATTCCGAATGAAGAGGGTCTTTGCTGACCACGACCTTACATAAATTACTGAAAATCATTGAATTTGCAAATACAAATCCTTCACTTTTTCGGGAAATTGCCAATTCTTCAAAATCTCACAAATGCGAAGTGATCTGTATAATTATTTGTAATTTCCAGTTTTTCACAAGAACATATGAGTAAAGTTTCATTGAGATAATTTGTAAACAATGTAAAATGGCCTGCCGCCTCCTGCGTCCACTCTTGTAAGAATAGCTAAAAACCGCTTCCGAAATTGAAACAACACCCCAACCAAAGTGAAATCAACAATTCTGCACTTTTATGCTAAATTTGGCATCAACCGTAATGTTGAATCAGAGATTTTGGCGACTGATTTGAATCACATTGCAGATACACACAAGCTAATGCCCAAGTTTGCTGCGTAGTTTACGAAGAAAACTAAAGCTTGAAAATAGAACCGAGATTTGCATTTTTCATTATAAACGATGCCAAGTGAGCAAATGATTGACACGAATCACCTAGCTCGGACATTGAAGAAATTATTGAAAGCAGACAGATGAGAAAAAGAGCAAACACAAAAAACAAGCTTGCGAGAAGCTAATACCGCGATGGTGATTGAAACATTGAGAGCACAGATTGCAATAAACAGGAATACACGACTACAAAATAGTCTAAAGGCTTTGAAAGCACTTTAGAAATTCTAACTTTTGATTCATCTGGATTGGCGGCCGAAAGGCGGGGCTTTGTGACCTAATCAAGGCTCTCGCGCCGGCAACGCAGTCTGCGTCTCTCCCGCGCGCGTGCTCTTCTGATCATTCCCTAGCCTTGACTAGAACGAAGCCCCGTCCAGCCGCCAATACAGTTTGTCAAAGGGTAGCAGTAGTTGTAAAGATACATTACCGCTCGTAATTTGTGAAAAAAAATCACCTTAATCCGCCGGAGTTTGTCGAACTTCGCGTTGCATCGGCATACAATACCGCTGATATTTTTTAAAGAAAAAAGACGTACAATTGTCCGATTCATGTGACATCACCGTCGCGCAGCCATATCCCGCTTCAGAGTGGACGAATTCGTAATTTAAGGGCACCGTTCGAGTCACCTCAGCGCTGCCCATCTTCTGATGTATAGAAGTGCCTGTTCAGATACAGTGAGACTAGATTTCACGAATCGTTACAGATTTTTGCTTACGGTAGGTTGCCCAGTAGATAAGCAATGGATAAGCACATTGAGTAACCTACCATAAATAAAAAGCTGAAACGATTCGTGGATTCTGGCCTCCTACCCTGTCCAAGCGGGCACATCTATACAACAGAAGATGCGCAGCGCCGAGCTGAATAGGATGGTGCCCCTGAAGTATGAATTCGTCCACTCTGAGGCGATATATGGTCACGCTACGGTCTGATGTTACATGAATCGGGCGACTGTGCGTCGTTTTTTTTTTGTCAAAAAATACGAGCGATATTGTAGCAAGCTTAAGGATCTTAATGATTGGCACTATTGATTTCCGAGTTTTTGAGATTTTGCATTCCTAATGAGCATATCTATGCTAATGTCAAGAACTCTATGAAAGCAGCTTTACTTCCAGAGCAGATGATTTGGCAAATAGTGAAGTTATAATAATTTCCAACAGTGCGTGCTCGGGCAAGTGCTCGGGCACTTTATACAAGTGTTATGGTAAGAAGTTCGTAACTGGCTTATAAGCCAAAAAAAAACAATAGTTTGCAACAATGCAGTACACTTTAGGCACATAAACGCCTGTTCCAACTGGATTAACTGGTAAGACTATAGGAACCCTCATCGTGGTATAAGAACAAGCTAAGCAGGGGAGTCGCAAACTTTTTGCACTTAATTGTATCCCCTCATGAACTGGTAATCCAGTGGAAGGAGGTGTGGAGAAGGGCGGGGGGGGGGGGAGACAAGAATTATTTTTAGCAGATTCGAGCATTCAAGTGCAGGAGAAAATAATGAATGGTTTCAGCAAATGTTCAAACGGCTTTCGGCTCTGGCTGCGTCCGGCTTTTATAATGGTGAGAAATAGGTACACAGTGAAGTATGTGATTGACGCCAGGAAGGAAAAAGATGAAGTATCATGAAGCTGACAGAAGTGGAAGCTGCATATTTACAGAGCCTTGCAGAATTGTTGACATTGTTTCTTATACTTGACTTGGATAGGTAATGACGCAGATGAGTATTTACTTAGGAAGAGTAGAAGAAGATCGTAATGACAAGAATTCTCACCATACTTCAAGAAAAAAATGAGAAGTACATAGAGAGGATTAGGTGAAAAAGATGGTGTCTAATACATAGTTCAGCCCTTGTGGAAAAAGATGGTTTTTTACCAATACTTGATCATCGAAAATATGAAATTGGGAAGCGTCAGAATAGTTCTGGAACTTCAGAAAGCCTACCCCACAAAACCTTCTGAAGAAGTTTCACAAAACTTTCCTCAACTAAGTATTAGATCGGTCTGAAAGTTTTGTCTTTTTTTTTCAAAAATTTGTAACTTTGTGCTATTTCAACTGCTTGTAATTTTATAGTATCAACAAGCATGATTTCTTCGCTTTTAAATGCTTTCTTGTGGAGCTTCTGTTTCACGCCGACTGCCAGAGATATAGATGGAAAAGTAAGACCAAGTAAGCTTTAACAATTTATAGTTAGGTCGCCAAAAATCTGGAAAGCTACAGAAAAATCCGCTACATAGTTTTTTGCATACTCTTTGCAACTGTGAAAAATTTATGATGTTTGAAGATCTTTGTGAAAAGTTGTGATTTTAGAAAAGTGAAAAATTAATTATCTGGCATTCCATAGTGTACTCGAAACTTATCACTTTTCACATATGCGTTCAAACAGCATAGCTGCAAAGGGTAGGCCAAAAACGAATGAAGTGGCGGTTTCAGATTTCTGCACATTTTCCCTTTGGTGACCTAACTAAAATGGCAAAGCTTATATGGTCTTAGATTGTCATTTTTATCTCTACATTTAGTGTGAAAAAGAAGCTCATCAAGACATTTTTGAGAGCAAAGGACATATTCTTTCTTAAGAAATTACAAATGAGGAAATCCGTTGAAATAGCACAAAGTTACAAATTTTTGAAAATGAAACGACACTTCGGACCGACCTAAGCTCATTCAAACACTCCCAGAATTTCGCCTAAAAAGCAAAAATAAACCGCAGATGAAAAAGGGGAGTGAATGTGTTTCCAAAGACGCTGAGGAACTGTGAGCGAATTCAAAAAAATAAAGAAAATTCAGAAAAGCTTGCAGAAAAATGGGGCGCTTCAGGAAATGTCGGGAAAGTTCTGGTTTGATGAAATCCTTCCTGTCAAACGATCACATTTTCTGAAATTTGGGATGTTCGAGAAAACTTTTTTGGGGCATCTAAAGGTTCCAATATTCCGCGAAATTTTCAGAGTTCTAAAAGTGTATGAAAATACCACCCAAGTGGAATGATATATGAATATACCACAAACGAAATACTATCGCCTTAGAAAGCGTAAAAAAATTCTCAAGCGTGAAAGAGGAGCTCCGCTTAAACACGGTGGAGAAAATCCGCCAAAAGTGTGAACGTGAAAACAATATCAAAATGTGCCGCGGACTAGTCTTATAGTTTACCCACGTACTCTGGATCTCCGCTAAGCAAATTTAGAGGACTGGTCCCTTAGTATGTAGTCCTATCGGATCAAGCTACTAGTTCGCAGCTTTGCTCAGGATTAGGCTAATCAAATGCTCTTAGACTTTCCAGAATAGAAGATTACCGGCTATTTTAGGCAGCAAAATTTTGCGAGCAATTTTCACTCAGACAATTCACGGGAGCTTCCCGAAAACAAGCCAATTTTGGCAAACTTCCCGAAGAACTCGTTTAACACAGAGGTGAATGGAAGCGCAAAAATGGGAGTTTCCCGAAAACTTTGACGTCAGGAGCAACGCAGTTAGGAACTTCCCGAGGATTTCTTCGGGAAGTATCTATAAATGCGAAACTTTCCAAAAGCTTTTAAGAAAAGGGAATTTTCCGAGAGCTTCGCGGTATTTCGTAATAGCGCTACTTTCATTCTAATGACTGAATTGTCGTAAAAAGTCACAGAGTCTTCATCAAACTTATGTAATGGTCAGTGCGATATCTGATTTAGCGCAAGTGCGGACTTCTAGTGTTTCTTTTCCATCGTCCTCTCGTTTTATTCTGTAAATTGACTGAATTCTCTTCTTTCCATGTGGCATTATTCAAATGTATTTGCATCACTTGTCGTTAAGGGTGAAGTGACCTCTTGCTTGTTACTTCGCACATCATAATTACCGTCCTCTGTCGCAGTGCGAGGTGTGAAGCTATGACCCAGAGCCAAAACAAGCAAATAGATGATCCGGCTATTGAATTACCTTAATATATGTGCGACCATCTATTGTACAGCTCTTTGCGAGTGCGGCTGTTATGATGCACCATGTAATAAGGAAATGACTCCTTTTGACTTTACATTTACTCATAAATTTTACGTGTTTCGAAATTCTTCTAAATGTGACTTTGTGCTGTTTTATATATAAAAAGGAAAATATGAATTTAGGCAAGTCTTTTTCAGCGTCTGATTCTCCTTGCTTTCTTTTCTGTATTTCGTAACAGTGCACTTGCGCTATTTCACTATACTGCTAGTCTGTCAATCTGTTATAGATGGTGAAAGTTTAGCAATTCAAATTGGAGTGTTATCTTAGGTAGTATTTAGATTCTGGTTCCTAGCTGAGTGGTTGTAATTTCGATCTTTTCTCCTCCTACTAGTGAAGCAGTTATGTGAAGGTGCTATATGTGCGTGCGCTTCGGGACCGCACCGCGGTTTCTCGCGATTTGATGATTTTCAAACTGCGCTTACGATTCTTTGCATATTAGATCTCTTCTTTCCTCTTTTCTAACGTGAATTTTTTCAGAGCAAGGGCATCAGCCGAATATAGTCGCGACGAACAAATAGTTCAAGGCTTCTACTTTGAGGGCACAAGTCGACTTTCAGGTGAGCGTGATTGCGCTTTATTTGACACTAGTTATGCTTCAACTCACTTCTATGATAATGTTTCTTTCTCTTTTTTGATTTAGCACTGCTTTTCTTTCTTTCTTTTCTTAAAGTTTCCTGTTTTCCTCTCTGATTTAGCACTGCTCTCTTGCTTTCTTTCCGAAGCTGTGCACATTAGAGATCACTAATGAGAATATACAATAATCTTTAAGCAAGAGTAATGAAGTTGTTCGAGGATCTTTTATTCACCTCCCATCTTTCCACTTTCTCTTTCACCCTCTATTCTCTTCACCCACCCTCATCTCTTCACGGACGCTTTGGGTTGGCGATTTTGTTCACATGGTTTATTACATTGCAAAAGCCATTTTAGACGTAATGCGCACATGTTTGTCGCGTGAAATTGGAAGCACGGAATTTTCAACCCCGCTCTATGCAATGGTTGCAAGAGGAACGCCGTTATCAAGTGTCACTCTGCAGGTATTCCTGCTTCTTTTCGCAGCACGCAAGGAAAGAATCTTTTTTAGGAGACGCTCCACCATTGTAGGCAAGTAACTCAGTTCGATCTACAGGATCTGTCTAGATTGGTGCAGAGCGCCGAGCGCTCTAGGCATGGTATTTCTTTATTTGATAACATCGAAACAACGCGGCTCTTGGTAGAAAACGCGATATCCAACCGCGTGCTGGTGAGTGCAGCTGTGACGACTTTTATGTATCGGTTAAGGGGGAAAGTAGGATTCGTCACGCTTAAGCATTTGAATCAGCATTGCTCGCTACAGGTTAATCTTCTGCTAACAAAGAACAGAGATCTCGAGTCTCAAATCCATGTACTGCGACAGATCTGCAACAAGCTTACTAGCGGAATCAGCGAGTCCTCTTCCACCATAAGCTTCAGCCCTGATAATCTCAAGAAACAGCACATAATCAAGCGTAGTTCACCATTCAAGGTAGTTAGGATCAAAAATTAACCAAAGCCAATTATGCTTATCATAGGAACTAAACCTCAACGAGCTTCTCGCCGGCTACACAGCTCCGAGTAGAGTCAAACACAAGACTTCGCTCGTCATCAATGACTTTTTACGTGTGATCTTCAGACAGGTTGGCCATTCATGTTCATAACTTTCATAACCAATGAACATGTAAGTATAATAAAATAATCTAGTTAAGTAAATATGAGTGGACTACAGCGAGATTTGTAGGTTTGTGGACCAGATCCCTCAGATATATGGAATTTTGCTCATCGTACATCTAATGTATCGCGCAAGCCGGATTTACAAGATCTGCCTGAGTCCATAGTTATCACACTCAACGGTACGAAACTAGTCATGTAAGAAATTCTCATTCAAATCATTCTTTAGATTTCGTATTGGATGCGCTTAGCCTCGGCAACGAGGATTTGGAGGGATACAGATTGAATTCGATAAGAAGCTTGCGCACTAGGTGCGTTGGTGTTTCGTAAGCAGTCTTTACCTACTCAAATGATTTAGTTACTGGATCTCTCTGGGTACATCCGATGAAGAACGCGAGAAAAAGTTCAACTATCTGCTGGAGCAAAAAACTTTCTACTGCGGCCAAATCAGGACCTGTATCGCAGAAGCACTGTAAGTTTTCCAGAATCGTCTTCTGCTTCTAAATTCAGTTTTACAGCGAGGATGTCCGTTATTATCGCCTCGACAAGGGAAAACTTGTGCCTTCAAAGGTTCAAACTTAGTCTCAGTTGTTTTTATACTAAAAATTTGTTTTCCAGAAATACAAGGCTACGCAGGTCGGATTTGGTAGAGAGGACAAGGCAAGTATGACGAAGTCAGAATGGAAGAGGAAAGCGCTACACAGTAGTGGAATTTGATCCCGTCGCTGTCCTGTTTGAACCTGATGTTTAATTTCTGATCCATCATAAGTCTTCTCATGTAACATCGTGCCTTTGCCTCATTAGTTAAGCATGTTTCTCATTAATCAGTGCTTCATTTACTTACTCCCCGCTTACCTCTATATTCACTACATGCTTACTTCATATCTCACTATCAATATGATACTCCTTACGCATTATCCGGGCTACTGTAATTCGATCTTTTAAGAACTTGAAGAAATTCTCCCATTCCCTCCGTCGATATGTTATATCTACTGCTATAACAATAAATGATGGAGCATATCTGTTTTTGCGTATAACTACTACTAGTGCTCCACCCTTACTACTACACTACTTTGAGTAGCTGTACTAAGGGTGCGGCTTTATGAAGTAGCAGGATTCATCATGAAGGTTCGGTACAGCTACGCGGAGCCAATGTGAAGCCCTCAGGAAGTTCTGTAGATAAGTTCTCGGGAGATTTCCCACTTCTTGCGAATTTCCCGAGGACTTTTTTGCAAACTTCCCGAGCGCTTCACGGGAACTTCCGCAGGTGACCCGAGGAAAGTTCCCTCACGGACCTCGGGAAGTTCCCATTGATTGTCTGAGCAAAAGGTGTAATTTTTGGAAAATTTTGTTGCACGCATAGCGTTGAAAGAAAATGTTGAATTACAGGAAGACGTTTGTTTTTATTTTCAGCCTGCAACGTGCGAAAGCGTTCAGATTTGCAGAAAAACAAAGCAGCACGATAGTAAATAGCTCACTTCAGCTGCATAGCTATCTCACACTTGAAGAGCTGAGCTCAGCGCTGAGTAGCTCTCACCAAAATCGGCTGAACAAAAGCAGATTGGAGAGCTTTTGCTCCGAATGAGGTTTGGATAAATAATTCTAGTGCTTATAGTACGGAGCGGAATAGAAGGGAAAGTGGAAGAAGCTCAACCATACAAGGAAAAGGGGAGAGAAGAAGGGGAAGAGACCGAAACTTTGAAACAATGAAAACTTTTCTGATTCATCAAACAATATTCCAGAAAGTTTTTTGTTTCACTTCGTTACAAAACTTTATCTATTCCCAAAATCACCATGAAAGGCTTATTCGTGCCAGAGGAAGCTTAGGTGAGAAGAAGGAAATTGTTTGCTTTAGTAGCCTTTGATTCGATTCCCAAGAAAGTTCAGTATTAGCGTGACACTGCAAAAATCATATAAGAAGTGGTTGCTTAGGTAACAAAGTCTTAGCGAACATGACTACGTTAGGAGCAAAGCGCTTTTGTTTTTGTTGAAGAGAAAAAAAGTAAAGAGGATCTGCGTGATTAGTAATTGTGAGCAGTGGAAAAGAAGAATTTGGATGAAAAATAAAAGAACAAAAAATCTATGATAACGAATGATAACTGCGAAAGCTTACATAAACAATCAAATTTACGTGGTCAAACAATTCGCGATATAACTTACAGCTTGCTCAGATTCATGTGAAATAAACTGTGAGTTGATCCTGCCTCTTGTAAAAATATTTTTCGTTTAATTTCTAATCAAGTTTCTATTAGTCACATCTAAGAAGAAGCTTAATAAGAGGTGCTGATTATTCAAAAGTTTCCTGATAGTCACATAAGAAACCATCATCGAAAGCACTCTGATGTGAAGGCACATTTTTAAAATGTGACCAGGCAAGATCACTTGTCTTATGATTTTATATCCACGATGCACAGGCTACCAAAATGTGGAACTACCATATTACGGACAGGTTAATGGCCTAGTAATACTCGTACACTTTTTATGAATCCATTTCCCCAATGTTCTCAATGGCAGGCTCTCTTTGATGTCAGCGAGTGCATATAGGCATAAATGGCCGTAAAAAGGGGATGAAATCTACAAGAAAGAGGACTGAAAGAAGGATATTGTGAAGTCGGTAGTTCTGAATTCCATACATTCGCTACGCGTTTATTTTCGGGTAATGTCAAAGCTTAAAAAGGTGATTCAACCAAAAAGCGTTGAAGACGGCAGCGTAGCAATTTAAGCAAGCCTTGAGCAGGTAAATTATATTTTCTGTAAGACTGTCATTACCATGGATTAGACATATTTCAATAAGAACTCTACTTAGCATGATTATCATAACACGCGTCTAAAAATATAAAGTTATAACTTGAAGTTGTAACAAACTTTAGTTGATAGCAAGTAAAAAATGTAGAAGTTCATCCATTTCTGCGCTAATGACAAGCGTTTTGAAGCCACTCTAGTCCGTAAGCCGCAAATATAAAACTATGCAGTTATAAAAAACCCACTTCCTCCCTTATTTAATCGACATAACATTCTACTACAATGACTAGCAGATGCATAGATGTATGCTCCCCCCCCTTTGACTCTCTTGTTATTCGAGTGATGTTGTATCAGCAACGTTCGAGAGGGATCACTCAGTGTTCGAACACTTGAGATCATTCTTGACAGTCACGCAGTCATCCAAACAATCGAGATGAGCATTTTGCGTTCGAAAAACGCAAGAAGTGAAGATTGAACTCCATGAAAAAAGAAAGATCGTCAGAGCTTGGTAAGACTAATCTTTTTTTTTGAGCGGCAGTAGGAATTGTTCTGCACGTTTTTGTTAAGAGAAATTGAGTAAAAACCATACACAACAGTTTTAGAGATGGCCAGAGTAGGAATTTACGTAATGCGCTAGGAAAAAGTGGAGGAAAGATGAGAAAAATAAGCAAACAAACAAACAAACTTGTACCAACACCTTTAGGGTACGTAAAACTTCCAAAAAAAAACTTCTGGAAGGTGGTCAGGGAGCTCAAAAGAAGAAGACGTATTATAGGGATTTTGCTACAAAACTAACCGTAATACTTTCTTTAAAGTAGCAAAAAAGAGACCCGGCGATGGAAGTGAAGCCTGATGAAGAGTTCAACCAATTTCCCGAATCGTAAACAGAATAGTGTGGCATTTTTCAACTAGAGTGATGTCTATGGGCACTTGGCATAACGAAAACAAAAAAAGTATAGCAGAGTGAAAAAATATTAATAAACAAAAGCATTCTGATGATGGACGATGTGCACAAGGTTTGTAAGTATGCACGAACTTTATAATAAAGACAAATATGAACATATAGCGGTCGAACCTGAAACCCTCAAAAACTTGCTAAAGCACTTGAAAGCAGTCGTAAAAATGCAAAAGGAAGTCTACGGAAAATAAACAATTTTTTACAACTCTATGATTTTTCAGAGCATAAGAATGGCAGTGTTACCAATATTTTTAATATCCTTCCAATGACTTTGAGCGTTAGGAATTACAGTAAAGAAATTTAATCTCATAATTGGCTTTTTCAATGGATTTTCCATAAAGAGATAAAGGATAAAGGAGAAAGAACAACTGTTGCTAGGAAAACTTCCATGCAGGCGCTATACTCTTAGGGCACTTTAGCTGCTCTCGCAATGCCTAAAAAAGACAAGCGCGCCTGAATCGGATTACCAATGACGTGAGAATTGCATGTCTCGATGTCGGATGGCAAGAAATCTTTGCATTTGAAAGGATTGAAAGTTTCGTTTCCAGAGAAACGTTTCAAAGCAGGCAAGATGCTTTTTACTATGCGCGCTAAGCTTTTGCCTCATCTGATTAATCGCCAGGACGAGTTTCACTTGGGCGCTAGAGGCAAGTTCTCTAGTGGATCGGATCGGAGAAAGTAGATAGGCGATATGCTGAAGTGATTCATGGTCCAGTAACGAAAACCAGATGCCCGAATTGCATGTGTAATTATCCAGAGAAAGAATAACAAGAAGACGAAATGGAACTGGTAGCAAATGAAAAATCTTAAAAAATCGAATTTTGAAAGCTGGAGAATCGAATCCCAAGGAAATACAGTTTGTCGATTATGTTAGAGAAAACTGAAGATAATATAGTTCCAATGAGATTTTTATATTAATTTCACTTGATTCAAAAGAGACTTATCCAAGAAAAAAAACAAAAATCCGAAGGATGGAAAATACTTGATAATAGAGGTAAAAAAAATGTATCATTTTTATGTAAGTTCAATCTTTTGATATTTTACACACAAATTTGCCAAACCCTTGCAAAAAATCTATGCTACAAGGTAACATTGCAACGAAAAAATGTCTTCCAAGATTGTTTGCATTATTTAAGGGAAAGTTACGGCTCTTTTACTTCCGCAATTAATTGGTGAAGGCTTGCCTTCAAAAAGAGAAGAAGAAGTAAAATAAACATAAACGCCGAAATAAACATCAGCGCAAAGATTATGCAACAAACCGTTTTTTTCGAAAAACAAAATCTTTCAACACAGCTTTGGGCTGTTTAGAAAGTTTGTTTAGAAAGTTTCTCTTCTTGTGAAAGCTGCACTTTTGAAATGACTAGTGCATTTCAAACAGAGCCTAGTAAACAAAAAGTATGAAGCTCTTCCTTTTTGGATGAGAGGGTCAGACATCTAGAGGGAAGGAATTTTCAACAGAGTTGATGACTGGGCCAAAATCTCTAATACAAAATTCTTTTGGTGGAAAAGCGAAAATTTCCCTTCAATATTTTCGCTAGCAAAAATAGTTTGGCAGCAAACACATAACATGCTGCAAGATGTTTTCGATTTGCCGCTCAAGCAAGGGATTAAGGCGCTATTGAAGGATGTCTGTGGACGAGAAACGGCAGTGGAGACCTCACTTCCAGGCGGAGGCTCAACGACGACTTCTCCTCGGCTCTCCGTCTCCATCGTTGTCAGTCGTAAACATCCATACGAAGTGACTAAGAAAGCAAAGAAAACACATAACTGAGCGCT